GTGGGTGGGTTCCACGTTACGAAGACGGCGCGACCCACGACCACTTCATGGGTGGGGCGCGCCGTGGCACTGTGACACACCCTAAACCCTAAACCCTAAACCCTAAACCCTAAACCCTAAACCCCAAAGCTGCGGAGATCTCTTGGAGAGGAGACCGGGGCCCTGAGCCCTCAGCTTCTCGGGCTCCTTGAAGTTCGGGCTTCGGGCTGTGGAACTAAGATTTTTTCGGGGGTTTAGAGCTGAGGAGTCGAGGGGTTGTAAGATTTCTGAGATTTTTTTGGGGTGTTTAGAGCTGAGGAGTCGAGGGCTTAAGGTTTAAGGCGCTTTGCATGATTTGGGTGTTTGTAAGATGTTGCGGTAGGATTGTATGTGCTCCTCAAAATAAGAACAGACCACAATATCGAAAACTGACCTGCTGATATCTGAAGCATCGCGGTATCAGCTGTAGCTGCAGCTATAAATGGATCCCCGGAACCCCTAACCCCTAAACCACCTTCTGTTGTAGCCGGAGTCCCCAATCTGCAGGGCAATGGCTGCTGCTGCAACAATCCGTGACATCATCGCATCGTGCTTCTGCTTCTTTAGCCTTTCCGGCTCTTTTCCCCACTCGGGATTCGGGGCTTTGCCACCTTGGACTTCCATTATGTAGCTTTTCCCGTCTTCTTCACTCATCTTTCCAAAAGCCCAACATTTCTGATAGGTGTGTCCACCCCAACCGATGAATCGCACCTTGCGATTCAACTTCTTGTCGAAAAGAAGATATCCATCATTCCGATCGAAACATACCTGACAAAATAACTCGCATTTGCCTTTCGATCTCATTTCTGCTGTCGGAATCTTACTTGAGCGTACTTTAGCTAGCCGCCACGCAGTCTCTATCATCCTTAACCCTAAACCCTAAACCCTAAAAACCTGAACCCCTAAACCCCAAACCCCTTGACCCTAAACCGTAAGCCCTAAACCCTAAACCCTCAGCCTTGAACTAAACTCTATACCTTCAATCGCAGAATCATAGGCCCTAAACTAAACCCTAAACCCAATGCGAAACCACAAAATGCTCGCGGAACCCTGCGGCCTCTGCAGAAGGCAAATTAGGCTGCTTGTGGAATCCAATAAAAAACACCAACAACACCCGATGAAGGCCTACTTAGAAGCCTAAATCCTAGGTAAAAAAACCCTACCTTACACCCATCCTGAACCCTACCTAAAACCCTACACCCTGACCCCCGAGTCTTGAAACTCCCTATGAACCCTCTAATCTGCACGTAAAACCACCCCTGAACCCTAAACCCTAAACCCCTAAAATCGTAAACCCTATGTGAATCCGTTTTTACTCCTCTGCTCTTACGATTCTGCTGTGCATTACAGGATTCATCTGGAGGCCTTTTCTGATCGAGAAGAAAGTGAAGGCGCGAGATACTGGGGAACTTGACTTCTGTTCGGAGGTCATGAGCCCAACGCTCTAGTGATTTTCCGTAGTGGATTGAGCCATGGACCCTGATATGCGTAAGCGTATGGGAAAGGGAAGTGGTGATGATGTGAGAAGTATTGAGGAGAGAGTAGAGCCTGCAGATAGGAGGGAAGCTGAACCTGGCAGAGATGTGCTGAGAGATGGAGTGCAAGAGGCTACACCGGGGCAGGAGAGCAGCCGGGTAGATGATACTTCAGAACAGCGCGTGTTGGGTGATGTTCCTGGAAATTCTGCAGAGGCTATTGAGGAAGCCAATGCTGGCTTGGTTGTGAATCCGTTTTGGTCTCAGAGAGCCCAGGATGAGGCTCGACTACAGGCAGCTAGACCTCATCATTTGGAAGAAGCTGCTAGTGATTCAACTGAAATGAGACTTCACGATGAACATCCGATGCCAGTTGGAACTCCGGTGAGCTTTGGTCCCTCTGCTTCGAGGGATCCCCAAGAAAGCGAGAGCGATGCCACGCCGGGTCTGCGTCCTGGTGAGCGGCAGGTTCTGTCACAGATGAAAGAACTCATGGAAGTTCTACTGAAACAGAATCAAGAGCTAGCACATCAGAATGTTGGCCTGCAGCAGCGCATTGACAAGCTGGAGGAAGAGAAAACCAGCAGCCACTGGAGATCTGTGGGCTCCGGGGGAGGCACTGAAGGGGCCGAAAATTCGGGTGTAGGCCTTAGTGGGTTTAGAGGGTTGCCCCATGACAACAACCCTAAGGATTCACTTGGAAGGTTTGTGCCTCCTGAAACCTTGAGGGGTCCAGGGGACCGGGAGCTGAGGGTGGAACCTGAGGTGAAGGGTGAGATAGAGGGTTCGGTTGTGTTTCAGAAAGGGTTTGAGGAGGGCTATCAGGCGGCTAAGCAGGTGTGGGATTGGGAAGAAACGAAACAACTGAGATCCCCTCCTTCGGTTAGTGAGCTAGACCCTCATGCCCGTAGTAGGACGCCCGAACCTCCTAGCAACCGCCTTTCCATTACTGAAGCTAGAGTTAACACCACTCCTCATGGAACGCCCGTGCCACCTGTGCCCCCACATGAGCATGAGCGTAGATCTGAACCACCAATTCCTCCGCCTCCGAACGTTCCCAGCTTTCCGAGCCTGAGTCGCGATCGAGAGCAGGAGTCCGTTGCTGTGAGACAGGGATGGGAATCTGCAGTAGGACCACTGGGATCTAGGAGAGAGGTAGAAGGTGAAGGTGACCGTAGGTGGTATGAAAGGGGTACTGTTATGCCGAGCTCGCTTAGGCCCATGCCAGGCGAAAGGGGAGAGTTAGGCTTTAGCTCGAACCGAGATCACGCCGCGCCCGGGACGGGTTCTAGAGGGGAGCACTGGGGATTTGGGGGGCAAGAGGGGGATGAACGAGATCCATGGGAAGGACAGGATGTGTTGAATCTCCCATATCCTCAGGGCCGTGATCCTTTTAATCCTGGGGATCGCACGTTTTGGAACCTTCCGGTACTTGAGGGTCTTCATGTGGCCTCTCCGGCAACGAGGGCTGGGGATTGGCTGGCTCAGATCAGACCCTTACTGTTCGATCTCAGTGAGTGGTCGCAGCTTTGGTGGACCAGAGTTGAATGGGAGGCTCAGGTCCTTTATCGGCAGTGGTCTCGAGCACCATCGATTGAGAAGGGATTGATTCAGCCACGGGTGAGCATCGAGCTTATGCACGTGCGATTCAGGAGACTTGAGAGCAGGGCTTACGGGATGCTTCAGTCGGCAGTTCCACAATCCGTGATAGACGAGCTGCTGGCCACAAGGTCTTTGCATTGCGTGGGTTTGTTGTTCCAGATACTGAAGGTTTACGCTCCGGGAGGATTGCAAGAAAGGGCTCAGGTTCTGACTGAGCTGACGAATTTGGGATCGGCTAAGGGGGCATCGGACATTGTGAGTGCACTGAGGATGTGGAGTCGACGCCACGCGCGAGCTGTAAGCATGGGAGTGAACATTCCTGATCCAGCTTTGATTCTTAGGGGAGTTGATGCTTTGGTGGATCCTGTGACCCGAAAACCTGCGTATGCTCAAGTCGCATTTCGGTTGTCATCGGCTAGGAATCGTCTGGAGATTGATCATCGACCAAGCATGACAGCTGTGATTGAGTACATGAGAATCTTGCAGTCGGAGTGGGAACAGGTTTCAGTTTCTGGGCAGGAGCCGGGAACTACGGCGAAGCTTGCAAAGCTTGATGCTGATCCTGGGAACAAGGGTAAAGGGACGGAGAAAGGGAAACAGGAACCGGGAGGAAAAGCTGAAACAAAAGGGGAAAAGGAAGGGAACAAGAACACCACGCAGGAGGCCCAACCCAGGGGAGCTGGAGGAGGCAAAGGGAGCAAGGGACCATGTAGCTTCTACTTGACCAGCAAAGGGTGTTGCAAGGGCCGGGAATGTAGTCATTATCATGACTTCAGCGCGGCCAAAGGCCAAGGACGATGCTACAATTGTGGATCGGACCAGCATCGACAGCAGGAGTGCACACGCTCTAAGGGTAAAGGAAAGGGCAAGCCCTTGGGGGAGTCCTCTCCTGATTCTGCGAATGTGAATGCTGCGGGAGGGCGAGTAGGAGTTGCACCCCAAAAGCCCGAAGCGAATCCTCCGAAGGTTGCGGCTAGCTCGGTGTCACAAGTTTCCAATCTGACCCAGAACAACAGCACGGCTCAGGGATCTACTTCCAGCCCGAATGTTGCCGAGGCTCAGGCTCAGGTTCTGGATGAGGCTCACAAGCTGTTAAAATCCTTACGCCTGGCAGCACTGCATGTCGCGGAGGCTTCAGGGTTGGGACAGGGTTCTGAGTGTGTGGGAGAGAGCGAGACAGGAGAGAGAAAGACAGTGGTAGTTCCGAACGTTTCGGCTCGACGACTGAATGCTCCGCGGAAGGGACTCTTGGACGGAGGAGCGACGCACTCCTTGAGAACAGCGAGAGAATGTGAATGGGAGACCTCGAAACCGACAACTGTTGAATTGGCGGTAGGAACCCAAGAACTTCGTGTGTCCCCGCTGGGCACAATCCTCACGAGAGCTGAAGTGACGCCCATTTGCCCATTGGGTTTGCTTGTAGATAGACTGGGATGCCGTGTGGATTGGGTGGCTGGCAGGTGTAGAGTCACACATCCTTTAAGGGGGTTGCTTAATACCAATCTTGAGGGAAATTGCCCAGTGGTGAGCGAGGCCTTGTGTCTCGAGCTGATTGAGGAACTTGAAACTTTCGAGCATGATCGGCTGCAGCAGGCTTTGGCTATTCGGGCGCTGAGTCTTGGAGTCTCTGTTGAAACTTTGGAAAGTCCTACCAATGTGTGGGGCGATGAACTGGAGCTCATTGGGTGGCTTAGGGAGAGCTTTGGCTCTTGGCCAGAACGCTTGATCAGGCGTGCTCTTCCCATGAGGTGCAACCAGGCGCCTGAAGGTTCTCATTCCTTTATGTCTATGAACAGAAGGAACAGACGGGCCATTGAGAAGGCGCAAGCGGTAATCCTTCACATGTGTGCGGGGAAAGACAAAGGGTTCCAGGTTGAGGGAATGGGCTCCAAAACGGTGGTTCTTAGGATTGGAGAGCATCTTAAGAGAGACCTTTTGGATGAGAAGACTTTTGCGTGGCTCGCTGCTCTGTGCTCGTCTGGCAAAGTGAGTGCTGTGGTAGCATGTCCACCTTGTGACACGTTTCGACAGACCTGGAGTGATGCTGACGATCATTCGGGTTTCAGGGCTCTGAGAGGGTGTGATGGTGAGGATCGGTTTGGGTTGTCATCTAATGACAAAACTGAGCAGGAGAGAACCGATGATAACACTGTGACGCTTCTTCGGATTGTGGCGCTGCATCACATTGCATCTAAGTCTAGAGTCAATGGATGCTGTATTGCATTACAGCACCCTCACCATGATGAAGATTCAGTGGCTGCGAGCTGCAGTTCCTGTGCCTGTGTCGGTTGGTGGAACTGGCCCGAGTTTCAGGCGCAACAAGAGACCTCAGGGAATACTTCAGGACCTCAGGGGTGGCTTAGAGCTACTTATGAGGTTGTCAATGGGCATCGAGTGCGACACGCTGCAGTGCTCACGAACAGTTGGACCCTGTACACAACTTTGCATGCCACGGCTCATGTAGAACGACCTGAGGACCTGCAAGGCAGGAGTTCAGGACTGGATGTAAAGTGGCCACCTTCCGTCTTGCGAGCGGTAGGCCTTGCTGTGCTTGAGTGGGAGAGAGAGGAAGCGAAAACCCGAGAGGACCGCGAGGGAGAGGAGAGAGCTGCCATCAGGGTTTTAAGTAAAGAGGAGCGTGAGTTTCGGGAACACTGCGAGAAAGACCATATCATCTTTCGTAAAGATTGCAAGGTTTGTCTTCAAGCTGCGATGCGTGGACCCAGACACATACGACAGAAGTACCAGAACTCCAATGCTTTGTGCCTCTCCTTGGACTTGATTGGTCCTTGGATCAAAGGAAGGGATCATGCGCTATCTGCACCGGCTAGGTTTATTCTGGTCGCCACGCTTGGCGTGCCACTGCTTCGTGATGGAAAACCGTTGCCGCTTAGCGAAGAAGCGAGGAAGGAAAAAGAAGAAAGAAGTGAAGAGAGAGAAGAAGGAGAAAGAGAGGGATCTGAGGGAGGTCGAGTGAGACACGACAGGGCGGATGACGTTTGTGATGATGATGGTGGTGGCATTGGTGAGTGGGTGCTTGAAGATGAAGCTGAGGAAGGAAGGGACGAACCAGAATGTGCCTACATGAGTGATGATGAGTACCGGAAGTTGTGTGATGAGTATGATGAGAAGTGGAGGGAGGTCGCCAAGGGCCTGAAGGAACCGGTAGAACTTCATGAGTTGGTGTTTGCTGAGCCCCTAACTTCGAAGAAGGCTTCGGAAGTTCTGAGGGGGGTTCAGAGGATCTATGCTAAGATTCGGTTGCTGAATTTGGAGGTTCGTCGGACCCACAGTGATGGGGGGCGGGAGTTCACGAATCGACAGTTTAGATCCTGGTGCTCATCAAGGGATATTCACCCCACCTATTCTACCCCGGGAGATCCGAAAGGCAACGGCCGCATCGAATCCACAGTGGGAAAAATCAAAGCTGGAGTTAGAGCTCTACTTTTGAGTGCACCCAAACTTGATAAAACATTATGGCCTTCGGCCCTTCGCCAGCATGTGGAACAACGGTTCAGGCACAGTGCGCAGCTACTTGGAGCCGCGCCTCCCAGGAGACCATTACCCCCTTTTGGTAGTGAGGTCACGGTTCAGAGTAGGGCTTGGAGTAGGAAAACCCCCTATGCTCCTCGGGCTGTGTCAGGGACTACTCTGTGTCCTGCGGCGAACATTACGGGTTGCACTGTGGTGTTGATTCCGGGGGAGGAGGATGAGGAGTCTAGGTTCCACATTGCCCCTGTTATGTACCGAGAGGTGAAGGATCAGGTCAAGTTTGAAGCTGAGGAAATTGTTGACGAAACTGTCCCTTTGGAGCCTGCTCCTGCGCGTCGGGTTACTGGAAAAAGGCCGGTTGTTGCCCACGTTTCCTGGGGGGGGGAGTCCGGGTTTCAAAGCGGGTCCGAAACTAGTGTTGATCATGATGCAGATGCTCAAGATGCTCAGGGTGCCAATAACACAAACTCTGAAAGCCCTGTGCCCGACAGGCATGGTGGAGGAGACAGAGTGAGACTGTGCAACTTGTGGGGAAAACCGTGGTTGTGCCGTGTGTGTGAAGAAGACGGTCAGTGGAGAGAAGACGGTCGATGTGTGGAGTGTGGAGTGAAGCTTGAAGAGGGATACACTGTTGAGAAGAGTGAAGAGGTTGCTGAGGAGATGATGAGAGGTGAGAATCACGTCAGTCGAGAAAGCATTGAGCACATTCTCACGAGATCCTTGACGCATTGGAAGCCCAAAACCCGAAAGTGTGACACTGAGCCATTGCATGCCAAGGGCTGGACGCTTGGGGGATATGTATACGGTAATCAGGTAGGGGTAACCAACGAAACACTTCGCAGACCCCAACTAACCAAACTCCTGAATCGATACCTCAGACAGCTTGATCCCGAGGGCACGTGGGCGGCGCTAAGGGTTACCTGTAACTTCGCTGCTGAGCCCCATACTGATCGAAACCTCAGGGGTTCCTTGAACTTCTTCGTTCCTATCAGTCGGTTTGAGAAGGGAAGAATTTGGATTGAAGGGGTGCCGGGTCCGGGGGAGCCAAGTAGCAGTAGGATGATCAATGGGTCGAAAGTTGAGGGTCGATGGATAGGAGGGGATCAGGGTGCATGTTGGTTTGATGCTGCTAAACAACATGCTGTGGAACCAGCAACAGGGGATCGGAGAGTGATTGTTGGGTACACGCCTAGGTTGCTAGAAAGACTTGCTGCTAGGGAAGTGCAAAGGCTTCTTGAGTATGGGTTTCCTCTTCCTGCACATGTGACTGCTGAGATTCCAGTGACATCAGAGTCGTCACATGTGACTGCTGAGATTCCCGTGACATCAGAGTCTTCACATGTGACTGCTGAGATTCCGGTGACATCAGAGTCTTCACATGTGACTGCTGAGATTCCGGTGACATCAGAGTCTTCACATGTGACTGGTAGGCCAGTAGGGTCCGTTGAGCGTGTGACCGTGTCTGCATTTCAGAGCGATGCGCCTAGGGTAGTCGAAACATGTCTGCATGAGACAGAGATCGAACAGCTACTGCATGAGCATTTCCTGCTGCGTAGATTCATGATGGAGCAGCAGCATCACCTTCAAGAAGAGATTGGCGTAGCTGCTAACCAGGGTTGGGAAGCTGTCACCAAACCGCTGAATGAATTGCATCAGTGGATTGAGGATACGGAAACATGGCTGTGTTGGCAAGGCGCAGAACAACAGTTGCGCAGAAGGGAGCTCAGTCCTGACGAACGGGTTGTGTTGAGTGCTAGGCTTAAGAGTCTGGGTGTGGTTTCCGAACATGAGCATGAGCCTGAACAACCGTGGTTTGATTTGCATGATAGAGAGGACCTTGGGTCCGGGGGAGTCGGGAATGAGGCTCAAATTTCAGAAGTCTATCCTGAAGCTTGGGGAGCCGAACCTGCGCAGCCCCTCCAAACCATTTCGGTGCCGCATTCAGAAGTCTTGAAAAACATTGAGGAGTGGAAGGCTTCGATAGGAGATGAGCTGTCGAATGTATTTGATGTCCATCAAGCCATGAAAAGAAGCAGTAACGAGGAGATTCAGGCACTGCGAGACAGCGGGGCCCAGATCGAGATCCTGCCGGCGAAGGCTCTGTTTCATCTGAAGGGTGGAACTGGACGGCACAAGTGCCGTGTAGTGGCTTGCGGGAACTTCTCCGAGAACGCTAAGGCCAAGGGTCGGGAACGCAAGTTGCAGTGCTACGCTGGTGGAGCGGATTCGTTGAGTTTGAGGTGCCACTTGAGGGTAGCTGGACATCGTGCTGTCACTCATGGGTGGAGAACCTCCCTCGCTGACATACGTACGGCATTTCTGCTAGCACCTTTGAGAGAGAAAACCAAAAGAACTTTCCTTAGGCCTCCATCAGTCTTGAAGCAGGCTGGGTTTGCAGCTGAGGGAGAGTTTTGGGAAATCACTGGTGCATTGTACGGAATGCAAGAGAGTCCTGCTGACTGGGCATCTTACAGAGACGAAACTTTGCCGACCATTGGAATTTGGATTCAAGGTAAGAAGATTTTCTTGGAGCGATCGGCCTATGACAACAACATGTGGCTTCTTCGTTGCCCTGAAACATCTGAGATTTTGGCTGTACTATCAATTTATGTCGATGACCTGTTGCTTTCAGGAACACCTGAGGCCTCGGAAGCAGTATGGGCAGCCATCAAAGAAAAGTGGCGGATTAGTGAACCGGAGTATGCGGACCTTGGTCGGGCGATTACCTTTTGTGGTTTTGAGATTCGACAAGAAGAAGACGGGATTCATGTTGGACAGGCGAAGTACGTTCAGTCTTTATTGGACAAGTACCCTGAGATCCAAGGCATGACTATGTGTCCGTATGCTAAGGAGAGTGAGAACATTGAAACCAAACCCCAGCCTTCACTTCCGAAGATCAGGCGCGCTCAAGCGCTGGTTGGGGAGATCCTGTGGCTGGCAACGCGCACCAGGGCGGACCTTGCCTATGGGGTGAGTAGGATTGGTCAATTGATTACCCGTGATTGTGATCAAGCGATTCAGCGAGGAGAAGACATGATTCGGTATTTGAGGGCCACGAAGAATCAAGAGCTTCTTTATGGATGTCCGGGGAAGGGTCATGGTCCAGGGGATCAGTTGCCAGTAGAGCGAAGTTTCAATTTGATTGAGGTGTTCGCTGACGCAAGCTTTTGTCCTGGAAGTGACAGAAGCCAGAGTGGCATCATTCTGATGTGGGGAAATGCCCCAATTGGTTGGATGTCGATGCGACAGGCTTGCGCTAGCCTTAGCACGGCTGAGGCAGAGTTACAAGCTTCGCTGGACGGGATGACTCTGGCAGAAGGACTTCATGGGCTTTTAACAGAACTAGCAGAAGCACCTCAACAAGCTTTCTTGTACAATGATAACATTGGGGCTTGCACAGTCTTGACGTTGCCGCAGGGATCGTGGAGAACTCGACATTTGAGATTGAAGGCTGCCTGGTTTTTGGAACAACTTGAGTGCTCAAGATTTCGTATTTACCATGTGCCTGGACAATATATGTTGGGTGATCTGTGTACAAAATCGCTTGTTGGTGCGCGTGTGAAGGAACTCCTCAATATGATGAGCATTCGTGTTGAACCATCAAATGTTGATGGGGGGGAGTCGCATGCAGTGAAAAGAGTGAGAACAGCCTCAAGGGGTGAGAAGAAGTTGACCTCGGGAGCCAGTTCCGGGGGAGCAGAGAGAGCTTTGAAGGCCCTTACGGCTGCTTCATCGTTGCATTGCGTGCTTTCAAAAATGATTAAGGTGCAGATCGACGTCGATGCAGAACCAGACAACCCAACCACTGGCATCGTAGATATCATCAAGCTTGCGTGTGGCGTGCTATTGGTGTTTGGCTTGTCGGTGTTGTTGGCTTGGAAGTGCTCGTTGCGAGAAGCCCCGAGGATCCGAATGGTGAGGGAAACTGAAAATGATGACGAATGGTCACTTGTGAGGTCTGGGTCTGCGGACTCAGATACTGAGGACGAGGAAGATGACGACAGGGTTGGTTTAGGAGAAGGGTTGAGGAATAGAGCTAGGAGTACTGGTTGCGGTTCGAGGTCTTTGGCTGGCCCGGCCCCCCTAGTCCCTAGTGGTTCCTCAAACACCCTCGACGGACGCGACAAGGACCGAGGACCTACTAGTGGGTTGAGTGTTGCTAGTGTTGGGTGCGGTTCCAGGTCTTTGGCTGTCCCAGCCCCCCTAGTCCCTAGTGGTTCCTCTGACGACACCCTTACGTGGAGGAGGACTGTCGAAGGATTCGCTAGTTCCTGTGAGATTGCAGAACCGCCGGTTCCTACAGGCGATGCGGGCGCTGGTGACAACTCACTGGATGGAGAAGGCGATGGAGCTGAACCTCTCAGTGGCGGAGAAGGAGATGAAGTCGAAGATCTGGGCGCTGAGTTCCAAACTGCTTTGCAGCCGAAGCTGGCAGAACCTCAGAACCCAGTGATTTATCCTGGATGGCCTCTCCGGGTGCCACCGCGGTTCTCCTGGGACCCGGAGCCTGAATGGGGAGGACCTGAAAGCAACTTTCACCAGAGAATGCCTGCTCGACTGCAGCAAGATCTATGGTACGTGGACCGTCGTCGTGGACTGATCACAAGGTTCCACGTGAAGCCTCGGGTGAAGCTCTTTTTACCTGGACCTTCTGGCTGGCCTGATGGGATCTCTCAAGATCGTCTTACAGGGAGAAGGCGAACGTTAGCCATGCTTCATAATCCTGAGGGACAACAGATCCTGGAGGATGATTGGAGCCACACATCGAGACCCACAAGGTTGCTTGAGCGCAAGTGGACTGGAAGGACCGAGTTTGAGCTTCGCAGTGATCTATGATGAGACAAGGTTTGAAGTCTGAGAATGAGTGAGAACCCCAGTTTTGCTTTGAAAGGCCTTGAGCTGTCACATATAATTCTTTAAGGACACTTTTGCTATAGCAGCGTGAGTTTCTCAATGGCATACAGAGTGTAAGAGCTCCTTGAAGTGCGCGATGCGCAGGGGGAGTGTGAATCCGTTTTTACTCCTCTGCTCTTACGATTCTGCTGTGCATTACAGGATTCATCTGGAGGCCTTTTCTGATCGAGAAGAAAGTGAAGGCGCGAGATACTGGGGAACTTGACTTCTGTTCGGACCCTAAACCCTAAACCCTGAAACCCTCAACCTAAACCGCGCCCTAACTCGTCTCCGGACAACTTCACCGAGAACCAGACCAGGCGGAGAGCTAGCTCATGGACCTGGGTTTAGGGTTTCGGGTTTGGGGCTTAGGGCTTAGGGCTCAGGGTTTAGGGCTTAGGGCTTAGGGCTTGGGGTTTAGGGTTTAGGGCTGGGTGGGATGCGAACCATCGGCGGTCACGGCTCGGGGCACTACTCTAGAAGCTTTTGAAGCTCTCTTGGAGTTTGTGAAGCTGGTCTTACCAGGGGCTGCAGGGGCGCATAAGGTTGTTTGTGGAGTCTTGGTAGAGTTGCTGGTGTCTTAGAAGGCTTTGTGTGGAGTCTTGTAGAAGTTTTTTCCGGGCCCTATGGCCCAATGCCAGGCTCGTAATAATTAGAATGGGGCTTCTGTGTGTGTGTGTGCTGTAACATGACAATACAAGGATACAAGGACTGTAAAGGGGTAAAAGACGGTTGATGATATAAATCCTGCATTACCCATAATAAGGAATTTACCATAATCCCATAGTTTAGGGTTTTTAGGATAATGCAGGATTTATATCATCAACAGTATTACCTGTTCCGACATCGAACTTAGAGCTTGGTGCCTTTGGGTTTATGCTGAGGGTTTGGGTTGGTGTAAGGTTTTGGGGTTTTATGGCGAGAGGATGGCCGGCTTTGTCCAAAGCTGATAGAGGCTCACTTGGGTGCTAACTTAATTCATTTGTGCTGTGTTTGTAGGGTATGGGGTTACGGGTTTCAGGGTTTGCTGAACCTGAAACCCCAAGCCCCAATCTTGCTAACCCCAACCCCCGAACCCAGAATCGACTCAAGATCAGCTTCATGGGGCATAGGATTTACGCTTTAGGATAAACTTTAGGGTCTAAGGCTCTAGAGTTTTAAAGTTTTAGGGTTTTTTGGGGGGCCCAGTTAGGGTCCGGTGGCCCTCAAACTTGAAGCCCCTAAACCCTAAACCCTAAACCCTAAACCCACGGTGCAGGACCACCGGGGATCCTGCGTACCCAGCCTTGAGCGCAGCGCCGCCATATCTGCCGACGGATTAGGGCTTAGGGCCTAGGGTTTAGGGTTTAGGGTTTAGGGCTTAGGGTTTAGGGCTTAGGGTTTAGGGTCTTCCTAAACCCTGAAGAACCTACCTTTGAACCTACCTTTTTATGGACTTTATGTAAGGAAATCAACATAAGGAACCCCAAAAAAGGTGGGTTCTTTAGGGTTTAGGTTGGGCCTCGGGATTTTGGAGCCTCGGAAATTCAGGTTTTTGGGGTGTTGGGGCTTCGGCTTAGGTTCACCACTTGACATGACGGAATCCGAAGTTTTGCACAAGTGAGACCGCCACGGACCTGCAGATGGACCAACATGCAGACAAACCCGAGCTACTTCTTTCACCCATTCTGGCTAAAAGCTATGTTAGGGAAGTGGATGTTGGGAGTATAGAAATGGATGTTGGAAATGACCCCTAAACGAACATCCATTGACACTCTGAACTGGAAATGGAATGTAAACTGAATGTGTCCACGGTGCTCCTTTTTTCTGCGGTGTGTGTGTGTGTGTGTATGTGTGTGTCTCTCTCGGTCGTTGCAAACTGCGGGGTTTCGCATGAACGACCAGGCAACGCCGGGCATTCATTTCCGCGATGAGTAGGCATACATCATCCCAAAGCCAAACAAAGCAGCTCATTTTGGCATGGAGAGCCACGTCCATTTTACATCCATTTTCCCAAGCGGCCAGGAAATCAACACCCATGCCGGCACATCCATTTTACTTCCATTTTCCCTAGGACAATGGCTGTCAAATGGATGGTGCGCAGGGCGTTCGAAAAAGGAGGAACATCGATTTCACTTGGCAAAGTCGTGGGCGGGGGTCCGAAAATGCACGTCCATTGGACATCCGTTTTCGGAGAGCCTCAAGAATGGATGTTCAATCCTGCATCGATTTTGCAGATCCCCGCAAAAGGGAAAGGGAGGAATCAGGACACTTTGGTCACGGCTCAGAGGCCAAGCTTCCCTACAAGCCAGGCTTCCCACTCATCATCGCTCCCCACTGAAATGGTGTAGCCTAATGCCTCCTGAACAAACGGCTGCTTAATGCACGTTCGTAAACACTTCCCGAGAAAGTGGAGGCATTATTGACATATACTGAAACGGACGTTGGTTTCACACCTCCATTTTGCAGCCATTCTGCGACTTTCGCGGACGCTGTTCTGTGGCGGAATGGGCCTTGCGGTTCACTAATGTAGGAACCTGATACAGAAACCCTGACCCTAGAATCCCAAAATACTAGGACTTATATAAAGAACCCTAACCCTAAAACCTAAACTTGCAGTATACTAATTAAAGGAAACTACAGGTGGGGAGTTTCGGGTATATAGGGCTTTCATAAGGCTTCCACAAGGTATATAGAATATAGACTTTTCATAAGGCTCCTATGACGGTAACTACCCACCTGAAAATGTCCTAGAACTAAGGACAAAAAGGGAACAATCTTGGTAAGGATTCCAAGCCCTACATTTCCCGTACTACTATTCATAGTAAGGACTGCAAGGGCATAAGCTTTGAAATTCTTCCGACCCCTGTATTACTGCTGTTCAAGGAATATACCAAAATTTCCATAGTCTCGGGTCCTTAAGGAAATGTAAGAATAGGGTTTTGGGGGTCCCTGATTACAAGTATAGTATACTATACCCCAAACCCCCTTCTAACTATTAATGCCCCTATATTAATGCTAAGGGTTTATATCATCAACAGTACAGGCCACCTCGCGAAGCAAGTCTCCGGGTGGTTGCCACCCAGCACCTCAGCCATAGCCAGGTCTCGGGTTTGGGGTTTAGGGTTTAGAGTTCAGGGTTTAGAGTTGAATACTAAGCAGCCGGATCCTTACAGTCCAAAAGCACTGATCGTGCAGGTCCCGATGTCTAAAACCATAGAACCCCAAACACTCTGTGGAACCCCGTATAAGAGCAACCGCTAAACTGCCGCTAAACTGGAAAATGCCCTCCAAAAAACAAAACTTCAAGGAGCCCTTCAAGGAACCCGCATGAAAACTCGATGAGACCCCGTTTGGGGGCTCAATAGCCCTGACCGAGTGCTCGGCTGGCATGTCTGTGGAAGTGATGCAAATCAAACCTCCATCTGCGACGGCCTCTGCTGTATGTATGGGTTCGGGGTCCAGGGTGTAGAGTGGAGTGTTAGGGGTTTAAGCCTTAGGGTTCGTTGTTCAGGGTTCAGGGCTCAGGGCTCGGGGTTTAAGGTTGGGGGTTTAGGGTTTAGGGGCTTTTTGTCGGATTTTGACAGGGCTTAGGAGAGGAGTAGAGGATTTTCAGGGGCTCCGCTCCGGCAGGACTGGGAAGGGGAACCCACAGACGCCAAAAAGCCCCTCATGTAGGGGCCGTGATGGTTAGAATTGAGTTTTGGGCTTAGGGTTTAGGGTTTAGGGTTTAGGGCCTAGGGCCTTAATGATTAGAATTCGGTTTTGGGTTCCTTTCTGATACAAGCATAACCAGGAACCCTAAGGAAGGACTAATGTTGGTCGTTATTGAGGCCTCTATGATATCCAAGCAAGCCATGGTCATGATGGTAGATTCCTTGCTATGATACTGCACAGTTGTGCCCATCCATCAACCATACTGTTGATGATGTACATCCTGCATTACCTTAAGGAGACCCCAATAAAAGGATTTTGCCATAATTCCCATAGTTTTGGATCTCCTTAAGGCGATGCAGGATTTAGATCATCAGCCGCATGTTTCTGTTTTCGGGAAGGGGGTTCTTAAGCTTAATCAGGTTCCCACATTACCACGATAAGGATATCATGCGGCTTACTATAATGCAAGGACCGACCCCACAAAGAGTAGGCTACTTTAAAGGAAATTACAGGTGGGGAGTTCAGGGTATATAGGGCTTCCATAAGGCTTCTATAAGGCATATGGACCTTCTATACGGCTCCCAAAAACGGCAACTACCCACCTGAAAATGTCCTAGGCTACTGGACAGACCAAGAGTCTCCACTCCCGCAATGAGCTGTGCAGGCTTCACCATGCAAAGGCGCGTCACGGAAGGTTGGTTATGAACTATGGTTGAAGACATGAATCCTGCACTACCTTAAGGACCCTAAACTATGGGAATTATGGCACATTCCTTATTATGGGTAACGCAGGATTTATATCATTTACCGTATCGGCCTACTGTCGTTGTAACCCTAAACCCTAGACCCTAAATCCTGAACCCTGATGAACCCTAAACCCTAAACCCTCAACCCCGAGCCCTAAACCCTGAACTCTAGACCCCAAACAGCCCTCATGAAGCCTGGACATACGCAAAAAAAGCACGTTGTCTTTACTCGCGATGTTTTGGTGCTGGCCCTTTCGGTTTTCGTGGAGACTTCACTGGCTACGATGGCAAGGCAAAGAAAAGGTTGAGGGGTGAGGGCCGTGTTTTGATTCAGAGGTCGGGCTAATTAGTGAGACTAGTCCTGAGGCCCTCCCCCTTTTTGACACATCTCGAAAAATACACCGCAGAAGCCTGTTCGAGTTCTGAAGCATTGAAGCAAGACACTGTTAAGACTCTAGGGAGCATGTAAAGACACCCAATTTAGAGAAACCCTAAACCCTAAACCTCCAAAACTCTACCAAAATCCCGACAGAGAACGTCCTAAACCCTAAACCTAAACCC